GGAAGCATTAACAAACGGAACACTGCCTTACGCAACAGAACCCTTTCTCCTCTGAGGAAGAGCTGATGACATCTGGATAGAATGTCGTCTATTGTTATTATATTGTTTATTTATAATGTCTTGAACTGTCATTACAAGCCAATTTGAATTTGTTTTCCTAATTATACTTGGGATATTTTACTAAATAAATATAAAATTCGTGAAGGCTTTCACGGCCAGGATCCACAACAAAACACACTAATCACCCATCTCCTGAAAAGGACAAAAGCTGATCTCCCAGCCATAAATACTCCACTCCTGAGCAAACTACACCAGAGCACAGAGTGCTGTCCTCTGAAGATGCCGGCCACAGAGACTGGCGAAATGTTAGGAAGAACAACCTTCAGAACACGGCCAAAGAGCCCGAAAAAACCACAACAACCAAATATAAAATTGCAGATCTGTGTTTTCCTCCCAAAGCTAATTATTAGAAAGTCCTTTTGTGGAAAAAGGGGGAAGGTAATTAAAGTAAAAAGACACTGATAGAGCAGAAAATGAATTGAGTGTTCCTAAGGAGATATGGCAGGGAGATTTAAAAGAGGAAATTGGTGTTGAAGATTGCAAGAAGTGGTGGAATAAAAGCATTTTGACGAGTATGTCTGTAAGGGTTAAGGGAAATACTTATATAGTAATATGGTGATGGTATTTCTCTCCAGCAAAATTGAATTTAATGAATAGGTAACTACCACTTATTTGTTGGAGGTGTAAGAAAGGTTTGGGTACATATTTCCATATGTGGTGGGCATGTGTAAGGATGGAGAAAGATTGGAGAGTGGTTTTAATGTGATAGAGAAATGGGGATAAATATACAAAAGTTTTCAATGACAGCTTTGTTAAAGAAGTTTAGAAATACTCAAATAATATGGGTAGGAAAGTAATTAATTACTGTTAGTTAGATGTAGAAAGATTAGTGTTTGGAAGAAAATGGAAGTAAATTTTAATTTAATACACACAAGAATTGTACCTTTATTGTTTCTGGCCATAGGCCTTTAAAAAGGCAAACTTATATAAAAATGGTTAAAACAAAAGCATGCCCCAGGGGTTAATAAATCCGTTCTGGTAATGGTAGGATAGTGTATAATATGTCATCATATTCAACATTTATGTAATATTATGAACCTTAACACATCGAAGTCCCTGCTTCTTCGCTGCCAGAACAAATTGTGCAACAGAGTACATAATATACAGCTGTGTACCAGTGAGTAGTCTTACTATTATTTCCATTGAAGTACAGTTGGGATAGAAGGGACGTGGTGGCGCTGTGGGCTAAACTGCAGAATCCTGTGCTGCAGGGTCAGAAGACCAAGCAGTCGTAAGATCGAGTCCACGCGACGGAGTGAGCGCCCGTCACTTGTCCCAGCTCCCGCCAACCTAGTGGTTCAAAATCATGCAAATGCAAGTAGATAAATAGGGACCACCTCGGTGGGAAGGTAATGGCGTTCCGTGTCTAAGTCGCACTGACCATGTGACCACGGAAGATTGTCTTCGGACAAACGCTGGCTCTATGGCTGGGAAACGGGGTTGAGCACCGCCCCCTAGAGTCGAACACGACTGGACAAAAATTGTCAAGGGGAACCTTTACCTTTACCTTACAGTTGGGATACAGTTGAATAATGGGAGAAAAATCTTTCTAGGGGGTTTTCATGGAGAGGAGTGAGTAATAAGTAGTGAGTTAGGTCCTCAGTCTTATTGCAGCCATAGACACATTTCCGCTCCTTTGCTGGGATTCTTTTATACCTGCCTTGAAAATATGCTGTGGTCATCTGCCCAATTCTGAGCTCTGTGAACACTCTGTGAATCTGAGGAAAAGTCAGTGACTCAAAGTAACTTGATTTTGCATGATTCAGCTGAAGTTGGAAAAATGGGACCTGATAATAACAACCCTGTTGTTAAAGAAACCAGAGAAAACGTCATGGACTGCATGATCAAGTTGAAAGTCACTGACATTCGTATTCAAATCTTGAC